AGATTATAATAGAGAGGGGAATGCTAATTATCTTTCTGATAATGCAAAATATATCTTCATTTATGCAATTTCTTTCTGTTCCTCTTCTAGCTGCAAAATCTATATTGTAGCGCTCTTCCAGAGAGTTTCTTCAAAGAAGATTATTTTTGAGTAATAGAACAGGCTGAAGCAAATAGGAGGCATGTTAGGCAACCATCAATCACACTTCTCTAGCTAAAATGAGGTATTTTAAAATATATGGATACTGTGCTCGGTACTGCAAAATTCAAGTAGAATTGCTACCAAGAAACAAAGGGGGTCATGCACTATTTGTTGTAAAATAATCAGGGATTCTTTTTTGGGATCACACTTTTCAAATGATATCTTTCCCAAAACTTATATGCTCCTTAAAACTTTACTACCCTCAGAAACACATGCACAGAAAAATTGTTTACCTAAATTATGCAATGTAAAGAAAGACTTTTAAAAAAATCTATTAAAAAAAACAAGAACATCACCCTGATTATGGTTTTGTGGGCTTTAATACAAAGAGACTTCTCTTGTGTGCCCAGTGCAGGACTCTAGTGAAGTAAGATCCTCAATCATACAGAAAGCTACACCTGTGCCTCATTTTCTACTCAGTTTGAGTCTTTCACACATTTAGCTGAATATCTGGAGCAGCTGTCAGATGCCCTGGGGTGCTCCTTTGCATTTAAGAACCAGTTTCAGTGCATGCCTTTCTAAAGAGTCGAAAGATTTTTTTATTACCTCCTTTCCCGAAGAACGTCAGTTATTGTAAAATGGCATCTGTCTAGGCCACAGCTAGACAGGATGCATGTTATCCTGCCAATTCAGAGGAAGATGCTAATGGATGCCAGGTGGCTCAAATAAACCAAACATGGTACAGGTAGTCCTCAACTTACAATCAGTCATTTAGTGACAATTCAAAGTTGCAACAGCACTGAAAAAAGCAACTTATACCAGTTTTTCCACATGTATGACCATCGCAGCATCCCCGTGGTCATTGTGATCAAAATTCAGATGCTTGGCAACTGGCATGTATTCATGATGGTTGCAGTGTCTCAGGGTCATGTGATCACTTTTTGCGACCTTCTGACAAGCGAAGTCAATGGGGAAGCCAGATTCATTTAGCATCTGTGATACTAACTTAACGACTGCAAAGATTCTATATATAATACTAAATTCTATAATACATAGAATTAATGAGACCATCTTTATAGATGTGAGTTAGGTTATGGGAAGAAGGATTTTTTTTTGTAACTTTAAAATAGGGTGAAGAGTTGTATTAGCTTGTGCTTAGTTTGATGAACTGGAAGCTACTTCTTTATTATTAGTAGCCTTTGTTTCTTTTTTCTTTTCTCTTTCTTTTTTAAATTTTTCTTTCTTACTTTAATCTTTTACTTTAGTTGGTTTTTCTTATCTCTGTTAAAAATTCAGTAACATTTTTACAAATTATTTATCATTAGCATCAATTACATTCAGCATTTCTATGGAACAACCTTCCTAAAGCAAATGGAATTATATAAACATGGAAGATCTCCAAGGATTGTGATGTTTTTACAATGATTATTTAACATGATAGACACGTATACTTGAAAAATCAACTGTGCTGATCTCTTTATTGATCAAGCCAGCTTTTCTCAATCTGGGTCCCTTCCAGCTAAATGTACTCAGAATGATAACAATTGTCATACTGGCTGGAAATTCTGAAACAACACATCTGGCAGGTATGTCACAGGTTCCTTTTTTTGAACCACTAATAACCAGGCTGTCCCAGACTCAACAGACATTAAGCACTGGAAACTTGGACAATTGAGTTTTCTGTCTCCCTTCAATAGATGGGAGGAGATTTTTATTTTATAAAAGGAATGCTTGCAGAATTCAATCTTTTATCTTTTTCAGTTTTTACTTTCTATTCCATCAAAGTCTTTATAGACAGTCCTTGATTTACAACCATACGTTTGGTGACTGTTTTTACAACAGCACTGAAAAAAGTGACTTATGACTGTTTTTCACACTTACAACTGTTGCAGCATCCCCATAGTCAGGTGATCAAATCCAGGCACTTGGCAACTGGCATGTATTATGACAGTTGCACTATCCCAGGGGCATGTGATCCCCATTTATAACTTTCCCAGTTTCAAACAAGCAAAGTCAATGTGGGAAACCAAATTCACTTAATGACTGCATGATTCACTTAACAACTGCCCTGTTTTGCTTAACAACTGTGGCAAAAAGGTTGTAAAATGAGTCACAACTCCCTTAACAACTGCCTTGCTCAGCAACATACATTTTTGGCACAATTGTGATCATAACCTGTGCTTTTTCTTCATTATTTTCTGCTTTGTTTCCAGATGGGCTTCTTGATTCTTTTTCTCTTCTTACATATCTTTACTGCATCTGAGGAAAAATGCTTAAAGATCTTTTACTTTTTAAAAAAAAAATTTTTTTTATTAAATATACAATTTAAAAACATTAGACATGGTGCGACTTGTCTGGTACATACTTTTCTAACACTTTTTCTTGCATGTATATTACAATATAGCATCCTGCATCTTCCATATATATATATGTATATATATTTATACTTTTTGTACATTCAATCACACTCCAGTTATATACATATTCCCTTCGCATCTATTCAAATCCAATTTATTCCTATCTAATATTTCTTATATTATTTTATTTATTTTTCTCCCCTTTTCTTCACTTGGTTTCTAAATCTCTATCCCTACATTCCTCCTTTTCTCTAGCCATTTATAAAATGTATTCCAGGTTACATAGAATTCTGATTCATCTTTATCTTTGAGCTCCATTGTTAACCTGTCCATTTCTGCCCAGGTCAATATTTTGTTAATTATTTCTGCCTCTTGTGGGTTCTCTTTGCATTTCCAATTTTGTGCGAATATTAACCTCGCTGCCGTTAATATGTGTACCATAAGATTTATTTCTTCCTTTTTGTAATTATCCCTTACTATACCCAGAAGGAAGAGTTCTGGCGTCATATCTATCGTCTGGTTTAACATCTCTTCTAGCCACTGTTTTATTTGGAGCCAAAAGTCCTTGGCTTTTGGGCACCCCCACCACATATAATAATAAGTGCCAAGTGTTGCGTTACATTTCCAACATTTTGGTGAGCAATTTTTGCACATCTTGGCCAGTCTTGTGGGTGGGAGATGCCACCTGTAAAATATCTTGTACTGATTTTCTTTATATGCAGTCGCTAGGGTAAGCTTTCTGTTCCTCTCCCATAATTTTTGCCAGCTATCTAGATCTATGCCATACCCAAAATTCTTACTCCAGGTGAGCATGGTCTCTTTCGCTTGTTCTTCTATCATGTCGTAGTCTAATAAATATTTATATAATTTCCTAATCATTTGCACATCTGCCCCTTGTAGGATTTCGTCCAATTCTGTAGGTTTGGTCCTTATGCCCCATTCATTTTTATTTCTCACATATTGGGATTGAAATTGAAGGTATGCCCACCATTCTAGTTCTATCCCTTCTTCTTGTAAGTCTTGTCTAGACCTCAGCTCTCCTTTTTCATTCAATATATCTTTATAGTAATCACTCTTCCTAATTTCATGAAATTTGGATGTACAAACATCTCCATGGTCGACAGCCAGTTGGGAATTTCTACATAATTTTGTTGCTTAGTTTTTATCCAAACATCCAGTAAAGCTCTTCTGATGAAGTGTTTCTGGAAGTATTGGTGTGCTTTATGTTTCCCGTCCCAGAGGATCGCATGCTGTTTGCATGTCATGTCCTTCCAGTGCTAGCAGCTTCCTGTTTTTTAAATTAATCCACTCCCTAATCCACGTGAGTGCTACCGCCTGGTAGTATTTTTCCCAGTCAGGGAGTCCAAATCCACCTCTTTCTTTCGAGTCTTGTAATAATTTCAATTTAATTCTGGTTTTTTTCCCTTGCCAAATATATTTAGTTATTATTTTATTTAAATTTCTAAAAAAATCCTTTTTCAATCTTATTGGTATGGTTTGAAATAGAAAGAGTATCTTTGGCAATATAGTCATTTTGACTGTCGCGATTCTCCCCATGAAGCAAAGTTGCAGGTTTTTCCACCTATCCAAATCTACCTTAATTTGGTCCACTAATTTGTTGTAATTGTCCTCCTTTAGCGTAGCACATCTTGACGTCAAATAAATACCTAAGTATCTCACTTTCTTTACTATCTGCATTTTAATTTTCTCAGCCAATTCTTTTTCTTGCATTTTACTCATATTCTTGACTAAAATTTTAGTTTTTTACTTGTTCACCCTCAAACCTGCAACTTCCCCATATTCGCCCAATACTTCCATTAACCTCTCACCCGATTGTAAAGGGTCTTCTAGAATGAACACAAGGTCGTCAGCAAATGCTTGTACTTTGAAGATTTCCTTTTTTATTTCCAGGCCTTTTATTTGTTCATCTTTTCGGATAATTCTAGTGAGTACTTCTAGGGATAGAACGAACAATAACAGAGATAATGGACATCCCTGCCTAGTTCCTTTCTGAATTTTGAAACTCTGTGTCATTCCACCATTAACAACTACTTTGGCTTTTTGGGTTGAGTAGATTGCGTTGAACATGTTTATGAAATTCTCCCCAAATTCCATTAATTTTAATTGATTTGACATAAAGTCCCATTTGACGTTGTCGAAGGCCTTTTGTGCACATTAAAGCCTATTTCTTTTCATTGTGGGTCTCATAGTATTCCAGTACGTTGAGTATGATTCTGATGTTATTTTTTAACTGCCTCCTCGGCAGAAAACCATTCTGATCACTATGAATAAAATCCTCTAGGAATCTTTTTAACCTTTCGGCCATGATGGCCATGAATATCTTATAGTCCGAATTTAACAAAGATATAGATTTGTAATTCCTAACAAGTGTCAAATCCGAATTGTCCTTTGGAATTAAGGTGATGATTGCTTCCTCCCATGAGGACAGTATTTTTGCATCTCTAAGAACTGCATTAAATACTTCTAATAAAGTGGAATGGACGTTGGTCTTACCTGATACGTCCGTTCTCGACATGAGGAAAAACGTCAGTCAGGATGGGTATACGTCCCGTCTAGCCAATGACCGAGCACCTTCCAAAGCCAAAGCTCCGCCCCCTTCGAGGCTGCCCCAGTTCTTCGGTGAGGCGAAGCGATGGAGTTGTGCTCCGTGTCCTCCTGAAACAAGAGAGAATTAATATCACCCCCCCAACCACCACCGGAACGAATCCAAGGGCGGGGCTGACTGACGTTTTTCCTCATGTCGAGAACGGACGTATCAGGTAAGACCAACGTCCATTCTCCAACGAGAGGAAAAACGTCAGTCAGGATGGGGACATACCAAAGCCAGATGTCACCAGGGAGGGAAGAAAGTGGTCCGGTAGTCCTCAAGAGACATGAACCGACTGTAGAACTCTCCTGCCGAAAGCAGCGTCAGCGGAAGCAAAGGAATCCACCTTGTAATGTCTGATGAAGGGACTGATTGTAGTCCATGTGGCCGCTCGGCAAACTTCCTCGAGGGAAGCCTGAGTAGCCCAGGCTGCCGATGTTGAGGCGCTCCTCGTAGAATGAGCCGTGATGGGATGCGGCAGAGGGGAATCCGACTGTCGGTAAGCCACGGCAATTGCGGCTCTGATCCAACGACCCAAGGTCACACTCGATACGCGCACTCCGAGAGAGGAAGGGAGGAAGGCAACAAACAGAGCCTCCGTCTTCCGGTGCGCGGCCGTACGGGCAATATAAATCTTCAGCGCCCGGCGGACGTCCAACGAATGCCAAGCCCTCTCCAGCCGATGGGCAGGGCGAGGGCAGAAGTCTGGGAGAACGAGCTCCTGTGCCCTGTGAAAGGTCGAATTTACTTTAGGCACGAAGGCCGGGTCAAGCCGGAGAACCACCCTATTGGTATGGAAGATACAAAGGTCCGCCCGGACAGATAATGCTGCCAGTTCCGAAATTCTGCGGGAGGAAGTGATAGCCACCAAGAATGCCACTTTCAACGAAAGGAAACGTAGAGAGACCGAACGAAGAGGCTCAAAGGGAGGAGCCATGAGCGCCTTAAGGACCTTATTCAAGTTCCACGTTGGAAACCTATGCACCGTGGGTGGCCGTAAATTGGTAGCTCCCCGCAGGAAGGTCGTGATGACTGGATGGCGAGAGATAGGATCCTTCGAACCGCAGGACAAGACGGAAGCAATGGCGGCCACCTGGCGTCGTAACGTATTGGGACGAAGTCCTTTGCGAAACCCCGATTGAAGGAACATCAAAACGTGGATAATTGAAGCTGAAGTAGGTAAAACTGGAACCGATGAACACCATGAGACAAAGGACCGCCAAGTAGCTTCATAAATCCTGACGGTAGAAGGTCTGCGGGCAGCTTGGATAATGGAAACGATCTCAGGCGGAATCCTGGCCCCCGTCAGAAGGAGCCGCTCAACCGCCAGACGGTTAAGCGAAGCCACCCCGGGTTCGGATGAGTGAGGGGCCCTTGTGATAGGATGACCTTGGAGGCAGGGATTCGCCAAGGAGGAGCCACTGAAAGGTCCATCAGGTCCGCAAACCAGGGGCGCATCTGCCAGAATGGAGCTACCAGAAGGAGCTGAGCCTGCTCCTCGAGCAATTTCTGAACGACCCTGGGAATTAAGGGAAGGGGAGGGAAGGCGTATAAGAGTCCCGAAGGCCACGGGCTGCGAAGGGCATCCGTGGCTTCCGCCTGCAGATCCAGGAACCTGGAAAAATAACGGGGAAGACGATGGTTCATACGAGAGGCGAATAAATCCACAACTGGATAGCCAAATCTAGAAACGATATCCTGGAAGAGGTCGTGAGAGATAGCCCACTCGCCCTGGTCCACCTGCGAGCGACTGAGGGAATCAGCCTGGACGTTGTCGGATCCAGAAATGTAATCCGCTCGGATGGAAGCCAGATGTTCCTCGGCCCATAAGCCCAACAAACGGGCCTCGACCATCAGAGAATGAGACCTAGTGCCTCCCAATCTATTCACATGGGCCTTAGCAGTAGTATTATCGGTTAGGACCAACACATGTCTACCAACCACTAAATCATGGAACTGTAACAGAGCGAGCCGGATGGCTCTTAATTCCAACAAGTTAATACTGAAAAGAGATTCCTGCGAGGTCCACCGACCTTGAGCAATGTGATGTTGCATATGTGCCCCCCAGCCAGAGAGACTCGCATCCGTAGTAAGCTGGAGTCTCTGAGGTTCTCTGAAGGAAGACCCCCGGGATAAGGCAGGAGAAAGCCACCAGAGAAGAGACTGGAGGACAGGTTGAGGAATATTGATACGACGGGAAGAGGAATCCAAGTCCGCACGCTGAAAGGGCAATAGGAGCCATTGAAGCTCCCTACTATGCAAACGTGACCAGGGTGTAATGCCGAACGTGGAAACCATCATTCCCAAAAGACGGGAAAGGAGGAGAACAGATGCAGAGCCAGCCGTAAGACATTGAAGCGCTAAGGCACGGATATTGGACTGGCGTTCCAGCGAAAGGCAAACGGTGGAAGAGATAGTATCAATGGAGGCACCTAAATGAAGGATGGTGGTAGAAGGAGTCAAATGGCTCTTGGGCCAATTTATGGAAAAACCATGTGACTGAAGGGTGGACAGAACCAAGGACAAGTCCAGCTGGGCTGCTTGAAGGGAAGGAGACATAACTAATATGTCATCTAAATAAAATTGAAGGCGAATTGTCTGTGATCTTATGAATCCAATTAACGAGGCCATGATCTTAGTAAATACCCTGGGGGCCGAGGAAAGCCCGAAGGGTAAGGCCTTATATTGGTAATGCAACCCTTTAAAGGCAAATCGGAGAAACTGGCGATGGGAAGGCAAAATGGGAACATGCAGGTAAGCATCTGTTAGGTCAATAGACGAAAGAAAATCAGAAGGGCGAATGCACTCAAGAATAGAGGAGAGAGAGTGCATTTTGAACCGGCGGTATTTAATGTGCCGGTTCAAAGCCTTCAAGTCTAAAATGGGACGCCAGCCACCCGAAGCTTTCTGGACAACAAAAAGGCGGGAATAAAAACCATGGCCCTGTTGAGAAGGGGGGACCCTCTCGACGGCGGCAATTTGTAACAGATGTTCAATAGCCGCTGAAACAATCCCTGCCCTAACCGGATCACGAGAAACGGGACAAGGAATAAAACGGGAGGGTGGGAGGGAGGAAAACTCTAATGACAAACCAAGGGAAATTGTGTTAAGAACCCAGGAATCGTTGATGGAAGAAGCCCACTGATCGTGAAATAAGGAAAGGCGACCTCCAATAGGGGCCTGGAAAAACTGTTCATCTGCCCCTTCGAGACCAACGACCCCCCCTGCCACCCCGGGAGGGTTTCCGAGGGAGAAACCTGGGCCCCTGCCTGACCTGGGGTTCCTGTTGGGGTCTGGAAGGAAAGGAACGTTGTCCCCGGGGTTGAAAGGAAGAGAAACCAGAGGTCCGAAAGGGCTGATATCGTGAAGAGGAGAAACGGGAATCAGAACGACGACTAGTAGGGGGAAGAATCTTCCGGCGATCCCTGGTCTCGACAAGCAAGGGTTCTAGAGCTGAACCAAAGAGGGAGCCACTGGTGTAAGGAGCCGAAGCTAGCTGCCATTTACTGCGTACATCGGCTTGCCAATTTCTCAGCCACAAGAGACGGCGAGACGTCACATTAGAACCCAGGGCCCTGGCAGAGAAACGAGTGGAATTCAAGGTGGCATCCGCCGAATATTCCAATGCAGCAGCAATCTTATTAAGGTCTTGATGAGACCGTGCGTCCGAAAGAGGAAGCCTGGCTTGCAGCTGTTTCAGCCATAGGAGGGCTGCTCGATTGAAGAAAGAGGCAGATGTTGAAGCCCGGATAGACCAGGCTGTAGCTTGGTGACCCTTCAGGAGAGTTTTCTCCGCCCTCTTGTCCTCAGGTCTGAGGGAGTCCTCAGGAGGACCCGCAGGATGAGAAGTATCAGTCAAAGCCACAATAGGAGGGTCAACGGTCGGGGCTTGTAAAATATCCGCCAATGGAGAGGCAGAGTTGTAAAGACGCTTGTCCAGTCCGTTAGGGCTAGGACCAGCCCCTGGTAAGGCCCACTGGCGATGCAAGACATCTGTAAAAAGCTTTGGAGCTGGGATGGTGTCAGGCTCGCTGGTAGGTTCTGCAAACATAGCCGCTGCCGGATCTGAAGTTGATGACGATGGCACAGCAGAGGGAGGAGGACCCAAACGGGTAACAGCAATGGCCTTAAACAGCAGGGAGCGGAAGAGCTGTGGCTTAAAAAGACCAATAAAGGCCGGCTGGTCGGGCCCCAGGCCTTCATCATCTGACCAGGCTTGATCTAGATACTCCTCACCGTCCGAAACAGAAGTTTGGTCAAGAGCAACCTGGGGAACAGAATGTTCCTGGTCCATCAAGGAATCCTCCGGGGCCTCCGAAAGGGTCTGTGGAGCTGCTCCTGAAGTGGTAGCCGCAGGAGCTTGATTCAGGCAATCCGCAATCGACTGACGGATTGCCCTGGATATGAAAGCCTCCAGGGAAGCAGTCATTGGAGAAGATAAGGCCGGAGGAGGAGGAGGAGGAGGAGGAGGAGGAGGAGGAGGCAAGGCCGAAGGATGATTGGAATCCTGAATGGTCTGAAATAATCTCTGGGGTTCCGAAGGCGAAACCGTTGGAGGGACATCCCTAATGTCCGGAGAGAGCTCCCTGATTGAACGAGGCGAACAAGGCCGTGAGGGAGGCAGAGATGAAGAGCGGTTTGGATGCTGGGCCTGAGTTTGCGCCTTTAAAAAGGCCTTTTCCATAGCCTTGTGCCTGCGCTGTTCCTCCCGGGAAGAACCCGACTTGGAGGATTGGGCCCTTGAGGACTGGGCCTTATCCCTGGTGGAGCGGGATCTTTTGCTTGGAGGAGGCAGAGAAGTAGAAGGTCCCTCGAGAGGATCGCTGGGATGGCGCCTACGAGAGGAGGAAGTAGGCCCATCGGAGCTCCGCATGGCGGCCGCCATTTTGAAAGGCCAGATACCGTGAAATGGCGTCCACAGAAGAAAACAGGGCCTAGTAGCTCAGGGAAACAATCGGGAGGGAGAGGGCTATCCGCACTTCGCAGCACCTAGCCCCACAGTCAATCAGGTAAGGGGAGAGATCGCTACAGCCCGATCCTCCCTTATGAGCCCCTGCGCCAATCAAATGAGGAGAGAGAGGGCGCGCTTCACCGCCGCTAGCTCTAAGCTCCGAGGCTTCAAAGGCGAGCGTCCGCTCCAGCCTTATCTTTCCGATCGCCCTCTGCGCCGATCAGCTGGGAAAAGGGGCGCTCTTCAGTCGCTAGCCGTCCGGCTCTAAACGCGACTCAGGGAGAGGGCGCGCGGCTTCTAGCGCCGGCAATTTGCTGCTAGGCAATGGCCTTTTCAGCGCAGCAATCAAATAAAGGAAAAAAACAAACAAACTCGCCCTGAGGCAAGGCACGAAGCCTGCAGGAGCGAGAAAGTCACTTGCCGGTTAGAATTGGAGATCGGAACAGCGATAGGAGCTAATTGAAGCTGAGGAAAAAAACAGTCAGAGGAGGACACGTCCTGTCTGGCGAAGACCGAGACGAAGAACTGGGGCAGCCTCGAAGGGGGCGGAGCTTTGGCTTTGGAAGGTGCTCGGTCATTGGCTAGACGGGACGTATACCCATCCTGACTGACGTTTTTCCTCTCGTTGGAGAATTTAGTGGATCTTGAAGATTTTTATATATTTCCGAAGGCAATCCATCTGGACCTGCTGTTTTGTTACTTTTCTGTCTTTTAATTGCCACTTTTAATTCTAGAGATGTTATGTCTTTGTTCAGCATTAGTCTTATTTCTTCTGACACTTTAGGTAAGTCGGCTTTTTGGAGATATTGAATGCTTTTTTCTTCAAGAGTGCCGCCCTCTTTTGCATATAATTCCTTATAGAACTTATGAATTATGTCTCTTTTCCATTCGTTATGATATATTATCTGCCACTCTTTGTTGCATAATCTACTAATGCACTTTTTATCTTTTTGTTTCTTCAATTTATAATCTAGCCAACGTCCCGGTTTGTCTGCATTTTCGAAGAAATTTTGTTTTGAGTATTTTAGTCGTTGTGCCAAATCCTCCTTCTTGATCATGTTCAAGTTATGTTTAATTATGTCTATTTGTTGCTTCAGATCCTTTCTTTTGTGTTCTTTTTGTAGATCTCTTTCTAGCCTACCAAGTTCTTCCTCCAAATCTTTTTGACACTGTCTTTTCTTTTTATTTTCGTATATTTTGTTTGCAGCACTATCACATCAGAAGAAAGGGGGAGTAGCAATGTATTTTAAAGAGGAAATTCCAACAAAACAAATTTATGAGGATGACGAGGGTAGGATATTGATAGTAGAAGCACT